GTTCAAGACCATCCTGGCCAACATGGTGAAACCACATCTCTACTGAAAATACAAAATTAGCTGGGGATGGTGGTGTATGCGTGTAATCCCAGCTACTTGGGAGGCTGAGGCAGGAGAATCACTTGAACCCAGGAGGCAGAGGTTACAGTGAGCCGAGATTGCACCATTGCACTCCAGCCTGGGTGACAAGAGTGAAGGTCCATCTCAAAAAAAAAAAAAAAAAGGAAAGTGACCCCAGTGAGGTTTCAGCTATGGCCTCAGTTTTCCTATGGAGAGTTATGGAGTGGGGATGGCCCTTCAGGATTGTCCCAAAGTAAGGCAAGGGGTCCAGGCTATGTATTCCTACCCTCAGCCAGTCATTTGACATAGGCCACCCCTGGTAAGGGTATAACTTTAGGAGAGGCAGTTCATTGCAGCCAAGAAGTGTTCCCCACAGAAAACAATAATATCCAATACAATAATATAAAACAATTAAATCCTGAGAGTAGGCCAGGTGTGGTGGCTCATGCCTGTAGTCCTAGCACTTTGGGAGGCCGTGGTGGGCTGATTGCTTGAGCACAGGAGTTCGAAACCAGCCTGGGTAGGCAATGTGTCAAAACCCTGTCTGTATTAAAAATACAAAAAAATTAGCTGGCCGTGGTGGCACACAGCTATGATCCCAGGGTGAGGTGGAAGGATTGCTTGAGCCTGAGATTGAGGCTACAGTGAGCTATGATCGTACCACTGCATTCCAGCCTAGGTGACAGACGGAGACCCTATCTCAAAAAGAAAAAAATAATGTATCCTGCGATTAGTGACACTTTGCTATTATTCAAACCATAATTTGCATAATAATGGAATTTTATTTATAGAATTCTAAAATATCATTACTATAAAAGGTCTGGCATTTTATATCAATTATCTTCCGTTGTTCTATATTTTGACATAGAGAAATAAAGAACTGTGTTATACTAACTCGTTAACCTTTAATTATACCACCATTTCTGGAACCCTAGGTGGGGGCACTTTCTTTGCTTGGCTCTCAGGCTGCCATACTTGTTTTTTCCTACTTCACTGGCCACTTCTTCCTCATCTTCTCCAATGACTGCTCCCCATGTCTGGCCTCTGAATTTTGGAGTGGTTTAGTAGGCTTAGTCCTCAGACCTCTTTTTTTTTTAAAATCTACTTTCATTTTTAAAATGTTCTCATTCTCATCCAGTCTCACGGCTTTTTGTATCAGGTATACCTTCATGAATTACAGATATTTATCTCATCCATGAAATCCAGGCTGGTGTATCCAAATGCTTACTCAATATCTCTACTTGAGTATCTATACACATCTTAAACTTAGCATGTTCCAATCAAACCCATTATTTTTTCCCAGATGTTTTGAAATCTCCCACAGAGATTTCAAAATCTCTGCAAATAATAGTTCCACTCTCTAATTGTTCGAGCCAAAAATCTTGAACTCACTCTTGAGTAATTTAAAGAAAATTTCAGACATTGTATCAATTCACTCATAGATACGGCATTTCGCATCTCTAACTGATAAGAACTTTTATTTTTCACATAAATGCCATACCTACCAAAATTAATGTAATTAATATCATCTAATACTTGGTTTGTATTCAAATATTACCAATTCTTTTCTTTTTTCTTTTTTTTTTTTTTTTGAGATGCAGTCTCCATCTATCACCCAGGCTGGAGTGCAGTGGTGCCATCTTGGCTCACTGCAACCTCTGTCTCCAGGTTCAAGTGATTCTCGTGCTTCAGCCTCCCAAGTTGCTGGGATTACAGGCACACACCACCACATCCAGATAATTTTTGTATTTTTAGTAGAGATGGGGTTTCACCATGCTGGCTACCCTGGTCTCAAACTCCTGACCTCAGGTGATCCGCCTGCCTCAGCCTCCCAAAGCACTGGGATTATAGGTGTGAGCCACCAAGCCCAACCCAAATATTACTAATTCTTTCAAAGATGCCATTTTACAGTTGTTTTGTTCAAATTAAGACTGAATTATAAGGGACAGTCTATAAACTAATATAAAATATGTCAGGTGGTTATTAATACTACAGAGTAGGGAGGTAAAGTAAAAGGGACTATTTGGTTGGCTATTTAACCCAGAGAGTTCAGGAAAGTCCTCTATGAGAAAGTGACATTTAAACAGAGGTGGGAATAAAGTGTTTCAAGGAGAACATGATCAACTGTGTCAAATACTGCAAATGGGTTACATGTAAGAGGATGACTGAGGCTTGATCTTTGGATATGACAACAGGGAGGTCACTGGGTACCTTGACTAAAGCTGCTTTTGTGGAATGGAGGAGGTAAATGCCTGATTGAAATGGGGTCAGGAGAGAATAGAAGGAGATGAAGTGGAAACAGTAAATATAGACAAATTTCTTCACATAAGGGGAGAAATATAGAAGAAACAGTAAATATAGACACGTTTTTTCACATAAGGGGAGATGACAAGTGGGACATTGGCTAGAAGGGATGTGGAACAATGGATAGTTTTTTTTTCTAAAAGGGAGTATTAGAGCATGTTTCATACTAACAGGAATGATTCAGTAGGAAGAAAACATTGATGGTGCAGGTGAGAGAATAATTGCTGGAGAGAGGGCCTTGAGAATGTGAAAGACGGTGGCTCATGCCTGTAATCCCAGCACTTTGGGAGGCCGCGGCAGGCAGATCACCTGAGGTCAGGAATTCAAGACCAACCTGGCCAACATGGCAAAATCTCATCTCTATTAAAAATACAAAAATTAGCTGGGCATGGTGGCACACGCCTGTGATCCCAGCTACTCACTCAGGAGGCTGGGGCAGGAGAATCATTTGAACCCAGGAGGTAGAGGTTGCAGTGAGCCAAGATCGCACTCCAGCCTGCACTCCAGCCTGGGTAACAAAGCAAGACTCTGTCTCAAAAAAAAAAAAAAAAAAAAGAGTGTGAAAGAGGATGGAATTCAGTGCACAACTGTAGAGTGTGTCTTTAGACAGGAGGATGGACAGTGTATCCACAGTAACAGGAGAGAAGGCAGAATATGTGGGCACTGACGCTGGTAGCTATGGAAATTTTCTCAATGAAGTAGGAAGCAAAGTCATCAGCAGAGGGATCAGATGATGGAGAGTTGAAGAGGGAAAAGGAATGAAATAGCCGTTTGGGAGAGTTGGAGAGTAGACGGGCTAGGGAATGTACAGGAATCTATTAAGACTCATTTGAAAGTGGAGCCATGAATTTGCAGTATTTTCTGCATGGTTGGTTGTTTTTCTCTAGTCACATTTAATTGCTGGGTATGACACAGGAAGAGAGCTGGATTTAACTGGGCCTGGAGTTTGGCCATAAAGCACAGTGAAGGGAAAGAGAGAAAAGATATTTAAGAGTTTATGCAAAAAGTAATTATAATGATGAACCATGAAATACAAGCTGGAGAAGTAGGAAAGAGTGAACTTAACAGGGAGTGATGGGCAGTGAAAAGGCGGTAATGGCCTATAGGTTTCAGGAGTGGGAAAATTGTGGGAGTCAAGGAATAGTTAGAGTGAGCTGGAAAAATAGAAGGTGCTGGTAGATTTAAGGCAAAAATAAGGAATCTAAAATTAAGATAATTGAGAAAATATGGAGTCATATGAACTGACAGTGGTAATGTAAATTAGTATCACCTTTTTCGTGTGGTAGCAACATGGCAATATCTAAAATTGCCATGTTACCGAGCATGGTGGCTCACACCTGTAATCCTAGGACTTTGGGAGGCCAAGGTGGGCAGATCACCTGAGGTCAGGAGTTCGAGACCAGCCTGGCTAACATGGTAAAAGCCCATCTCTAATAAAAATACAAAAAATTAGCTGGGCGTGGTGGCGGGTGCCAGTAACGGGATTGCTGGGTCAAATGGTATTTCTGGTTCTAGATCCTTGAGGAATCGCCATACTGTCTTCCACAATGTTTGAACTAATTTACATTCCCACCAACAATGTAAAAGCATTCCCATTTCTCCACAGCCTTGCCAGCATCTGTTGTTTCTTGACTTTTTAATAATCGCCATTCTGGCCAGGTACAGTGGCTCATACCTGTAATCTCAGCACTTTGGGAGGCCGAGGCAAGCGGATCACCTGAGGTCAGGAGTTCAAGACCAGCCTGGCCAACATGGTGAAACCACGTCTCTACTAAAAATACAAAAATTAGCCAGGCGTGGTGGCAGGCACCTGTAATCCCAGCTACTTGGGAGGCTGAGGCAGGAGAATGACTTGAGCCCAGGAGGTGGAGTTTGCAGTGAGCCGAGATTGCGCCATTGCACTCCAGCCTGGGTGACTAAGGGAGACTGTGTCTCAAAAAAATAAATAAATAAAAATTTTTAAAAATCACCATTCTGACTGGTGTGAGACAGTATCTCATTGTGGTTTTGATTTGCATTTCTCTAGTGATCAGTGATGATGAGTTTTTTTTCGTATGCTTGTTGGCCGCATAAATGTCTCCTTTTGAGAAGTGTCTGTTCATATCCTTTGCCCACTTTTTGATGGAGTGGTTTGTTTTTTTCTTGTAAATTTAAAACTCTGTAATCTTAAACTTGAATAGCCTTTTAGAGTACCTATAGACTCCCTGTGGAGAGGAGAATAAAATCCTAGTATCTAATTTTTCTGTCAATAATATTTACATAGTTATAATGTGTCAATGATTATTAGTGGTTTTCAATTTTTAGCAGTAGCCTAAACACAAAACAGAGAAAACTTAAATGTGGTTATGTTAACCTTTGTAATGTCAAAGTAACAGTATAAGTACAGATAGCAGGAGGAAGAGGGAAAACATGAAAAGATGGGAATTAACCTCATCTACTACAGTGTTTACCAGTAAATCAAGAAATAGTAGTAAAGGCCCATTGTTTAGAATTAGAGAAGTAACCATTAAAAAGCCTTGGTAGGAGGGTCTGATGGCACATACTTGTAGTCCCAACTACTTGGAAGCCTGAGGCAGGAGGATCGCTTCAGTCCAGGAGTTCAAGGCTGCAGTGAGCTATGATGGTGCCTGTGAATGGCCACTGCACTCCAACCTGGGCAACACAGCAAGACCCCGTCTGTTTAAAAAACAAAAAACAAAACAAATAAACAAGAAAAATGAGAAAAAGAAAGCCATGAGATAGCAACAGTTAAAAGTGGTTTCCTCTGAGAAGTTCAATGAGGGGTGAGAGAGGGTGGGGCAGTAGAACACCTTTTTTATTTTTCATCACAAGCCCTGTTACATTATTGTTTTTTTTCCCATGTATGTAATTATTGTGATAAAATGTTTTACGATAAGAAAATTTTAATAAAGAAAGGGGAATTACTTACAATTCATTATGCCTGGAGTTTAAATTTTATCAGTTTCCACAGAAGTTCCTGGGTGGGACTGGTTATTAGAGGATCTATGAGCATGAAAAGCAGAGGAGGGAGGAAGAGGGAGAGGGTAATGGGTATATTCAAATATAAAATTTGGTTGTCAGAGGTAATTTTCAGTATGGTACAATGTATATTTATCATATTTTTTATCCAACTGTGTCCTAGCAACTAGGGCCTTGGGCCAAATCCCTAAGGAGAGATAGCTATTACTTTAGAAAGCGTGAAATCCCCGGAGTCTCTAAAAGTGAGATGTGCAAAGGAACACTGTTCTGTAGAGGTCTGGAGGTGACAGGGAACACTACTGTGGTCTTAAGGAACTAGGGCCCCAGTCTGGATATGTACCAAGAAGAATCCTGGGCACCAGGGCACTCCTTGTAGAAGCACGTGTAGTTAATTTTGAGGGAAAGACAAGGCTTTGCATTGCTGTGGGTATAGGTGAAACTAGAAAAATACTGTCCCCTTAATGTTATTATAACTTATAGTAGCCATAGCCTGGTGTGGTCTATAAAAACATGATAAGCACAGTTGATTTTATAGCAAAAGCATTTAGGAAGACAAGCAGCATTATACCATGATTAAAGATACATTTACAAATGAACACATAAATGCTATAATGGTAAATCTCAAATATAATCCAACAACAGAATTTTGATTTGACAGAGATGCAAGGATAAACCTTTCTGGTTGCAGCATTATGGGGGATAACATGGGATAGAGTATGTTTTTTTTCCCTATTATTTGCTGTCCTCCCTATGAAAGGATTATGTTTATCCATTTTCATCAACATTAACCTTATGACTTGCTTTGCTTATGGAATGTGTGCAGAAGTGATATATGCCCCACATCTAAGCAGAAGTTTTAAGAGACATCTGGTGATTTAGACGTGAGGTCTGTGTGTCCTGGGTCGAGGTTGCTCCTGGAATAAAGATCCTGGAACAGAGCTATAACCACCATGTATAGTGGATGAGTAATTAACCTTTGTTGTTGTCAAGTCACTGTGATTTTGGTTTTTTGTCATTGTTGTTCTGCAACATAACCTACGGAAAGCTAACTATTATATAGCATAAGCTTAAAACCCTTTTGTTACCAACACCCAGAAAAGCTAGTTTCATTATAGCAAACATAATTTTAAATGCATAAACTCCCAAGAAAGTAAGGGAAATATCCAGGACCACTAAACAAAGGGGATAATGAAACAAAGTGTAAGTTCTTGAAATGATACTGCAGTTATAAATAGTAATAAGAAACAAAGAGAAATGAAATAAATGAAACTTTAAAAATCTACAAAAGAAAATGGATAATTTTATTTTTTGAGATGGAGTCTCACTCTGTTGCCCAGGCTGGAGTGCAATGGCATGATCTCAGCTCACCGCAAACTCCACCTCCCAGATTCAAGCGATTCTTCTGCCTCAGCCTCCCGAGTAGCTGGGATTACAGGTGGGTGCCACCATGCCCAGTTAAATTTTGCATTTTTAGTAGAGATGGGGTTTCCCCATGTTGGCCAGGCTGGTCTCAGACTCCCGACCTCAAATGATCCACCCACCTTGGCCTCCCAAAGTGCTGGGATTACATGCGTGAGCCACTGTGCTTGGCTAGAAAATGGGTAATTTCTTAAAGGCAAGTGAGAAAAAGGGAAATATTAAAAGCAAAAGCAGAAATAAACAAATTGAGTAATAGAAAACTGAACATAAAATACATGTAGCCAATGACTATATCTATTTGTTTAAAAATGGTTTCTAGAGCATTCCATTTCCCTGCTGTGGTCCCACTCTCTGATAATTAGGCTTGATTTCCAAAGTGTCATGGGTTTGATATCCACTGAGAGAAAGCAAATACATATTTGGCACATTAATAAATACTATTTAACAACAATGAATTATGGTTACATATAGAAATAATTTACATTCTGAACAAATGTTTATGCTTCTGTAAAAAATAAAATGGAAAATATTCTGTATCAGACACTCTACATCTTGACCATAGACTTGTCACGATCTAGGTCAGTGTTTTTCATTTGAGGATAGAAACCTACTGGTAAATCATAAAATCAGTTCAACGGGTTATAATTTACATTAAAAAATAGAAAAAGTGCTCCCTTTGGCGGCACATATACTAAAATTGGAATGATACAGCGAAGATTAGCATGGCCTCTGTAAGAAAAAAAAAAGAGTAGAATTTGAAAATATCATTGTGCAGTGCATGTAGGTAAGTACTATTTCATGAAATATTCCTCTTATTCCAAGGTTGAGATTAAAACGTATATTTTACTGTAGGAGGAGTAGGGTTTAAAAAAAAAGTTTGAAAGTTGCTGACTTTGCCCCCTGTAATCAAGCGACGCTCAAAATATTTCACAACTGGTGATGCTTAGTCATAGCCCAGTCAGAACTAAAGCTGGCTGCAATATTGGAATCCTGCTATGCCAGGGGTTACTCCTTTTATGCTAGACTGAGGGTCCTAAGGGAAGGGTCAGGATGGCCGAGGCACTAGGGGGAGTTGGTACAGTGACTTTATGGGTGTATTAGTTTTCTATTGCTGCAGTAACAAATTACCATAAACTTAGTGGTTTAAAATAACATAAATTTATTATCTTACAGTTCTTTAAGTCAGAAGTCAGGCACAGGTCTCACTGATCTAAAATGAAGGTGTTGACATGGCTGCATTACTTTTCCGGTGCGCTAAGGAAGAATAGGTTTCCTTGCCTTGTTCAGCTTCTAGAAGTTGCCCGCATTCTTTGATTCATGGTCCATTTCCCCTGTCTTCAAAGCCAGCAACATTGCATCTCCCTGTGATACTTCTCCCATAGTCACATCACTGTCTCTGACTGCAGCTGGGAAAGGTCCTCCACTTCGAAGGATCATGTAATTAGATTGGGCCCACCTGGATAATCCAGCGTACTCTCTCCATTTCAAGATCCTTAACCTTAACCCCATTTGCAAAGTCCCTTTTGCCATATAAAGGAACATTTTCACAGATTCCAGAGGATTAGGGAATGGGCATTTTTGGAGGTCATGATTCTGCCTATCACAATGGGTATGGAAAAGTTTCATATCTGAACAATCAGCACAGCCACACCTGTGAAATGACCCATTTGGAGTCTCCATTGCAGTATTCCATGAATGCGTCTTGAATGTTTACCCTATCACTTCCAAGAGGAGAGAGGGGAAAGTTTATGCTTCACAAATATAACTCAATCCATTGCTTTTGCATATCGGGTATTTTCCTAGAAGGTTTAACTATGAAATGGGTTGACTACCTCGGACCCAGGAGAACTGAGAGAGAATTGTGCATAAACTTAAGAAAAGTATATAACAGAAATATTCTTCCTTTTATCACAAGTGAAAAATTTAAATGTATAGATGAGCTTATTTTAATACCTATATCAGTATTAATTTACATTAGTAATATTAGGCATTTTATGATGACAGCAAGTGACAGCTTTAAAAAAATAACTTTTATAATTCTAAACTGTTTCATAATTCTGGAAAAAGTCTCTGGAACAGCATTTCATAATAGTATCTCACAAAATATACTCATAGATGTAAGATGTCTGTGCACATACACATATGCCCTGGAAAGGAGAAAAGCTTATTTTAAAAACTAGTGTTTTAAGTTTATAAGATCTTTTAAAATTAAATGTGCTCTACTATACAGTAGAATTTTCAAAACAATCTTTGAAATGATTTATGCATGTTTACCATTAGTGTAATCCTTCTGCTCAGCATTGCTCATTGAATGCTTTTTATGCTAATTAACAGAATAGGAATTAACTCATTTTCGAATCATTTAATTCCGGCCACAAACCCTCAGTGAACTCTAACAAAGCACTTTATGAATCACAGTGAGGGTGGAGGAAATAAAAAGAAGCTTTAAAAAATTCCACATCAGGTATCAAATGATGGTAATGTGAGCCTTTTACAAATGCTTGTGGATCTGCCTGAGTGGTATATGAAAAGGAAGTTAATCTTGCGACATAACTCTATTATGCTGTTTTACTCAGTTGTCTAAAGACATTGAAGGATGCTAATTTAATCTAGCTTTTGTATTTTTGGTGACTTGCTCTTCTTCCATTATAAAGGAGACTTTACATATAATTAGTAAGCTAGATTTTTTTTTTCTTATGAATCTCATTGGCTCTTGCCACTTAGACAAAAGGAAAGGTTTCAATTGTTGCTCCTCTACCCCCATCCTCAATTTTGAAGACAAAATGCTAATTGGAAAAAATGGAGTCTTTTTCAAAACTCATGCTGACTTTTATTAAGTTAATTACCTGTAAATCTACTGTTGGACCTGTCCTGCACTGTTCATTTTTCCTTTCCTCATCCATCCTTAACTACCTATCTCGGTCTTGTGTTACTGCCATCCTTTTTTAAAAATTTTTAAAATTTTTGTGGGCACATAATAGGTGTATTATTGCATCCTAATAAACCTCAACAGTAAGATTTCCCAAGAAATGATTGGGAAGTGATTAATGTTTTATATTTGTTCAGTCATTCAGAAGTAATTTCCTATCAAATGTAACTGATTAAAAATTATTTAACATTCTTTTAATAATTTTTTTTGAGATGGAGTCTTGCTCTGTTGCCCAGGCTGGGCAGTGGCAAGATCTCAGCTCACTGCAACCTCCGCTCCCTGGGTTTGAGCAATTCTGCCTCAGTCTCCCTAGTAGCTGGAATTACAGGCGTGCGCTACCACGTCCAGCTAATTTTTGTACCTTTGGTAGAGACCATGTTGGCCAGGCTGGTCTCAAACTCCCGGCCTTAAGTGATCTGCCTGCCTCGGCCTCCCAAAGTGCTGGAATTACAGGCGTGAGCCACCACACCCAGCATAATTGATATTATTGTGCCAGTTACATTTCTTGGCTCAATGTCACATTCCCTTTCTGCACTCTGTTTTATAACTGCAGGGCCTGGAAGCCTGTATACTCCATTTCCCAGAATCCTTTACCAACTGGCTTCCAGTCAAGTTTGGCCAATGAGAGATACTGGTGGGAGGAAAGATGCCATTCTGATCTGGCACCAGTGGTGGAGGTGTCTCAGTGGCCGCTTCGGCACTGGCTACATAATGCCTCTTCCGTGAAGGTGGAGAATAGGCACTGGCCACACCGTAACCTCCAGCAGCAAATGCAGCTAGAGGGCTCCAGCCTAAGACTGGTAGCAGCTCTCTCATCTCTAGGCAGTGTTCCTTCCTTTCTCTCCCTTTCTCCTTTAGCGCTTTCAATACCTTTGCAACCACTTCCCAGAATTAAATCCCTTTGTGTTTGAATTATGTATAGTGTTTTTTGTTTTCCTGATTGGGACTAACTGGCTGATTATAGACCAAAGTATTTAGAAAACTACCAAAGCTTTGGGAAACCAAGGTGTTTATAAGTCAAAATAGTGTAATACTTTTCTGGAAACCAGTCTTCCCGCCAAACTATTATCAGGCAAGTTTTGTGCAGTTCTTAGTCCTAAACACTTGAGGCTCCACCCAAATGCAATGGATCAGGGAGTTTGCCTCCTGTTCCAGTGTGTGGTTTGGGCACCCTGGAAAGTGGCTATGGGCAACATAGTGGACATCCTTGGCTTTTGGGCAGTACAAATAGCTAGGATCACCTGCTGTTCAGGGATACCTGACTGAGGTCTCAGGCTCTGCTGGTTCCTTGAAAAGTTGTTGAGAATATTTAGCAACTTGCAAGTGAGGAAGGAAATTGGTTAGGCAATAGAAGGTTTAGGCACCTAACTGAAGGTGTAGTGGTGGTGTAGGTGCTCTCCTACCCAGGTCTTCATCTGTTTGACAACTGTGTCCAGTAGGAATATTTCTGGCTTTTGTTTCACAAACCAGGGACTTGGATGGGAAATAGGGAATAGTGTCCAAAGGGAATAGTGTCCATTAGGGTTACATTTCCTCCGGGTGGTTAAGGCTACATTGGGGAGGGTGCCTGTGGCTGCCAAAATTTCTGGGCTCCTCAAATTCTTTTCTCCAGGACCAGATGATGCATTTACCTTGGTCTTTACTTAATGTCTCTTTCTCCCTCAGATCTGTTTTCGCTTGTCATTGTACCCTCTGGGCATAGCAAAGTGCTACATATATTCATTCATTGAATTCTTCATTCATTCAATTAATATTAAATACCTAATTTATTCCCCAAACATCAACATACCAATAACCTCTTCGAAAGTTTCAGAATTTGGGTGAGGCGCAGTGGCTCATGCCTGTAATCCCAGCACTTTGGACGACAAGGTCAGAGGACTGCTTGAGCCCTGGAGTTCAAGACCAGCCTGGGCAACATAGTGAGATGCCATCTCTAAAACAATAATTAAAAATACATAAAAATTTAAAAATTTTTCAAAAGTTTATGTCAATACATATTAAATACTCTTAAGGTGACTTTCTGTAACCAAATCTTCTCTATACACCCTTGAATCTCTATGCACATATACATACAGAAATTATGTATTTCTTAATTATGTATTTCTTAATTGATCTGTAAATCAATGAAGAGATTCATAAATTGCTATTTCTTAATTGATTTACAGATCTTCTGGAATGTTTTCCTACTGTTCTTCTAACTCTGCAGGGAAGAGCCCTTTGTCTATATGTGATAACCCCAGCGCTCACAACTCCAGTGAGTCTCAAACTTTAATGAACATAGCATAAAAAGTAGGCATAACTCTTTTTTATTTTTATTTTTTATTTCCATAGGTTTTTGGGGAACAGGTGGTGTTTGGTTACATGAATAAATTCTGTAGTGGTGATTTCTGAGATTTTGGTGCACCCATCACCCAAGTACTATGTACTGTACTCAGTTTGCAGTCTTTTCCTCACCACCCCCAACCCTTTCCCTTGAGTCCCCAAAATCCAAAAGTCGGTCTAACTTTTGATTAAGCAAATGGATAATAAACAAAATTTCCATTTTGTGGGAGACTAAAAAGCTTAGTAAAATGTTTGGAAATAAGGTAATAAACATAAATAAGGAAAAAACATAAATAAAATACATATAGTATATATAAAATATTCATGTATAAATTAAATACCATTTACAGGTACCAAAAATACTCAGTTTGAAATAATCAAAAAGGAATCCTAATTTACAATAGCAGCAGATGTGAATAAGTTAATGAACTTTGAGGGAAAATATACCACCAATATGAAGAAAACCAGAAGATTTTTCTGAAAAGTATAAAGTACAAGAAAAGCAATATCATATTTTTAGAAGATGACTATTTTAATAATGTCATTCTCCCACCAATGAATTAATATGCACGGAGCAAAATCTCAATAAAAAATAATTTGGGAAAACTCGACAAAATAATTCTGAAATTTATCAAAAAGAATCAACAGATAAGAATAGCTAGTATCTCCAGCTATCATAGAAAATGATCTAACATTACATTATCTTTTTTTTTTTTTTTTTTTTGAGACAGGGTCTCACTTTGTCACCCAGGCTGGAGTGCAGTGGCACATTCACGGCTCACTGTAGCCTCGAACTCCTCAGCTCAGGTGATCCTCCCATCTCAGCCTCCTGAGTAGCTGGTACAGGCATGCACCTACAGGCGTGTGCCACCAGGCCCAGCTAATGTTTTGTATTTTTTGTAGAGACATGGTATTGCTCTGTTTCCCAGGCTGATCTTAAATTCCTGGAGTCAAGCAATCCTCCTGCCTTGGTCTCCCAAAGTGCTAGGATTACAGGCATGAGCCACTACTCCTAGCTACATTAATTTAAAAAATAAATACAAAAATAACGAGGATTATCTCACGTTTTATATTATTTTTTGTGTTCACACTGTTATTTTAACAAAATATTTTTCTACAAAAAATGCAAGCATACATTTTATATCATAAATTATAAATTGGTGAGGTTCAGATGCCATGAGTAGCATAGTAAAAATAAATAAATAAATAAATAAATAAATAAATAAATAGAGGAGCACCAAGGTAGTAACATTATATTTTATCAAGAATTGGGACCAGGCACGGTGGCTCATGTTTGTAATCCCAGCACTTTGGGAGGCTGAGGTGGGCGGATCATTTGAGGTCAGGAGTTAGAGACCAACCTGGCCAACATGGCAAAACCCTGTCTCTACTAAAAATACAAAAAATTAGCTGGGTGTGGTGGTGTATGCCTGTAATCCCAGCTACTCAGGAGGCTGAGGTAGGAGAATTGCTTGAACCCAGCAGAAGGAGACTGCAGTGGACTGAGATCACACCACTGCACTCCAGCCTGGTCAATAGAGCAAGACGCTGTCTCAAAAAAAAAAAAAAAAAAAAAATCTTAATAGGCAATTTTCTCCATAATAGAAAAATATATTTTAAAACTTGAGTTTGAACTGTTACATATTCAGCCAGTCCAATATTTCAACGTTTTCAATAGCTGGATTGCAGTCACATATAATTTCATTTAAAATTAGCTTAGCTTTTGGTTTTTTATATGTAGGCAGCTACCGTTATTCCTAACTACTGAAAGATAATGACTTAAATGATGAATTCATTTATTAAATGATGAAGTTTCAGCATCAAATGAATGGTTGGTCCAACCTCTCTCCAACCTCTCTAAAAATGGTACTTTGATATCTGTTAATCAAAAGATAATTCATCGAAATAATTCCTTGTGTATGCCACCACTCCAAGCATATTTTTAAATAATTTTTTTTTTTTTGTAGAGATGAGGGATGGTGGGGGCTGAGGGAGGGCTGACTTGCTATGTTACCCAGGCTGGTCTCAAACTCCTGGTCTCAAGCCATCCTCCTGCCCTCCTGCCCTCCTGCCTCAGCCTCCCAAAGTGTTGGGATTGCATGCTTGAGCCACCACACCTGGCCTGTAAGGCTTTTTAAAATCTGTATTTTTCCGTACATGCGAGCTAACAAGTTACCAGAATGTGTTTTAAATATACATTTATACTCCTACAGAAATACAAGAAGCAATATATGCAGGATTGTTACAATAGTATAAACACCAAATCTTAAAGTTTCAGTAATAATGGATATGGCTGTGGATACTACATGTAAAACTGGTGTTTACTGAAGTGCATAGTTTTAGTGAGTTTTAAAAAGAGTGTAATTATGGTAATGGATTAGTACAATGGATTCATCTTTGAAAAGTAGTTCAATGATATGGGTGCAATTTCAGTACTAAAGTGTTGATTCTATTCTTATAGTTCTCATTAAAATTTTTTTTGTAAACGTTTTTTTTGTTTGTTTTGTTTTTGAGACAGGGTCTCGCTCTATCACCCAGGCTGGAGTGCAGTGGCTCAATCTTGGCTCACTGCACCCTCCACCACCTGGGTTCAAGTGATTCTCCTGCCTCAGCCTCCCAAGTGGCTGGGAGTATAGGTGCACGCCACCACGCTCAGCTAATTTTTGTATTTTTTGTAGAGGCAGGGTTTCCCCGTGTTGCCTGGGTGGGTCCCAATCTCTTGAGCTCAAGTGATCTGCCCACTCGGCTTCCCAAAGTGCTAGGATTACAGGCTTGATCCACTGCACCCGACTGCCAAAGGCATTTTTTTAAATCACAAGACAGCCAGGACTAAATGATTAATATGTCCCTGGATGCTCAACAAAATAAGAACATAATTTAAAGATTAGACACAATAACCCATAAATAGTTGTAAAACCATTCCTTAGATTCTAGAGTGGAGGAGATAACTACTCATAAAAATGAGATATTCAGGGAACCTGTGGAGATGGATATAACTGGCACTCTCCCAAAGAGCTAGGATGCCCGGCCAGGTAAACTTTTTTTTTTTGAGACTGAGTCTTTCTCTGTTGCCAGGCTGGAGTGCAGTGGTGTGATCTCGGCTCACTGCAACCTCTGTCTCCTGGGTTCAAGTGATTCTCCTGCTTACCCATGACCATTTTTTGATATAATTATCCCTAATTTATACATGGCAAAAAACTCATGTCCAGTATTTAAACCAAATCACCTATTAAAAAAATAGCAAAAATTCAGTAGGATTAGATGTAAAAGTAGAGACAGAGCTAAAAGCAAAATTAACCAAGGGAAACAGCAGCAACAAAATGCCAAAGATGGGAGAAACAGATCCTTCTCAGAATGACAAAATAAGGAAGCTCAGATAGGAAGTGTCAAACCAAATTTTTTAAATGCCAGTATAAATAATTTTGGAGACATCAGCAGAGAATGATACTGATTCTCAATTGTCAAAATACTGGAAATGAAAATTATTTATGCACAATAAGGACACGTTTAGTGGTGAAACATTCTGAGTTTTTAATGTATTCATACTGAGTAAATTTCATACTTTGAAGCTGCACTGTCCAATATGGTAGCTACTAGCTGCGTGTGACTACTTAAATTTAAACTAATTAAAATTAAATAGGCCGAGATGGTGCCTCACACCTGTAATCCCAGCACTTTGCGAGGCCGAGGTGGGCGGATTACCTGAGGTCAGGGGTTCGAGACCAGCCTGGACAACATGGTGAAACCCTGTCTCTATTAAAAATACAAAAATTAGCCGGGTGTGGTGGTGCTCGCCTGTAATCCCAGCTACTCAGGAGGCTGAGGTAGGAGAATCGCTTGAACCCGGAAGGCAGAGGTTGCAGTGAGCTGAGATTATGCCATTGCACTCCAGCCTGGGCAACAGAGTGAGACTCCTTTTCAAAGTAAATAAATTAAATTAAATTAAAAGAAAAATCAGTTTCTTAGTTGTACAAGCCGTATTTCAAGCTCTCAGGAGCCACACTGGACACAGAGACACATTGGACATGCAGAAATAGAACATTTTCATCATGGTAGAAAGTTCTGTTGATGCTGTCATGGAGTATGACTGGTTGTGAGTGAAAAGGTCATAATTAAGCTTTATCAATATTACTCACCTGGAAGTTTATCACAACTACTTTTTAATTATCCATGCCATGAGTTACTTCTATTTTTCTTTTCTTTTTCTTTATTAACACACCATTGCTGGCTTGAAAAGTTACTTCTAGAGGCAAGATATACAACTAGATAAAACAAGGGTCAAATTCTTTACTGCCTTTTTTCTTCCAAGGAAGACTTCCTTGGAATTTTATTATCTATACACTAGGAAGAAATGTAATGGCTTATTGTGGCTCTTATCTTCCAGCACCTAAGAAATGCAATAGCTTATTGTGAAAAGTAAATATGCAGCAACTTTTGACTTGGTATAACATTTCAGATGCTGGATCACTAGGCATCATTTTATTCTTTCCATGATTGAGCAGAACAGCTGAGGAAAATAAAAGGATTTTGTCTGCTTTATGTAATAGTATAACCCATAGCACACCCAGACAGAA